CATTGTTGCCATTGCTTGTTCAATGATTCTGTAATTCCGACTTTGCTAGTGAAAATCTTGCCAACTTCTCCCGTGAATGTGCAAGTGCGAAGGAACGCAAGCAAAGCTACGATTACTCCTAGTAGTTCGTGTCAGCCCCCATAGTCTAGCTCACTACCGTTGTAGAGTGACTCTCCGCACTCCCAACCTCCACTACCCAGCCATGCACTCTAATATGCCTAGTCCTTGCGACTGGCCGCGATCCGGCATTGCTAACTGTGTTGGTCTGCAGGATTTGTGGTCCTTAGGTCCACCAGGCATGCACCGCCTTGCAGCCTGGCCTCTTCTGCATTCACTCTTTAAGAACTAGCCAACAGCCCTGACTAACTTTCTCGGCGTTTCTTCCCTCTCCACCAAATCTCCGCCAAAAGAACAAACATTGTCAAACAAGTCGAAACCATGGCTTACAAACTTCCTCACCTTAGCTGATGTGCTAAACGGGCCTGTCCTCACATACCGTAGGTGTTCACAGCGAGCCTCCCTCTACTGTCCCGCTGTTCCCCTTGACACACTCCACCTTGATTGGAATGTTGGCCATGCCCACTAGGCTTCTCCACCCTTTCTCCCGGCCCCTGCCCATCAGGGACGTCGCTAGCATAAATTTTTTGTCTGTTTGTCCTATATTGGAGGGTAACTTTTTGATTTAATCTGATAATTCAGAAATCAGGACTTAGTGAAATCTGTTCATTCAGAAATGCTTTTTTGCTATATCAGACCCATCAGAAACGTTTTCCATGTTCCTCTGATACATCAGGAGTACTTTCGGGTTTAGTCTGTTACCGAATCTTTCTACCCTTAGGCGTGATTCACGCGTGAGCAAGGCGTGGTGTGGGTGTTTTGCCGTGATTACCGGAGTGTATGCATCATGCACGCCGCCCCCCGTGTTCCCACGTGTTTCTATCGTACGTGGCCTGCCACAAGTGTGGGATTGGCTAGTTTAGTACAACAGTCATCAATCCAGCACCACAAACCCACAATTTCGGCGCCTGCCGAAGGTTCGGGAAGCGCGGTTTGGGTTCACCACAGTCAAGTGGTGCCACCCACAGTTTTCGGGAGCCATGCGCGGTTCGTCAACAGGGCTCTGTGGTCGGGCGTTGGGGTTTCGGGGGGGTCCTTCTTCTCCAGCCTCCTCTTGCAAACGCCCTACCTAGCCATTTTCACAGCGATTGCAGGCGGTTATCGCCTTAGTCACGTAAGTCCGCCCTCTCGCCATGGCGGACGACACGGAAACTGCCGAATCACCCACCCCACGGCCCAAACCACCTGTCACGGGCCTCGATTTCCTACGCCGTTCCCAGCCAGCCGCCGTGTTAGGCGCCTCTTCGCCGACACGCGTACCACCGTCTTCTTCCTCGAATCGGCAGGATGTCGCTCCTGTAGACTGGCCTGCTGTTAATGCTAGACGGGCTTTCAGTAGCACACCGCCTGTCTCCCCTAGTACCTCTGCACGGATTAGAGCTAATCCTAGATCGCAAGCGGCGCCTAGCACTTCACGTGGTACTGCCGTGGGACGATTCTCAAAGGCAGGCCGATATACCCAGAGCACGCTGCGTATTGCAAAGACGGGGGTTCCTCACGTCCGCATCGTGTCAGGGACCACGCCAGAGCCTAGAGTTGAGGCTGCTGCTGCATCAACAGCACCAGCAGCTCATCCCACAGGTGATCCTGGGCCTTCCAGGAGCACCATCCACGTCCCTGATCCAGACGCGCTTATGGAGAAGCTCCACGAGCTGTCCAAGGAATTTTGGCGCGACAAATTCAAGTGGCTGATTATCACGCAGAGGAAGGACGGGACGTCGTGCATGAAGTGCAGTATATGCATGGCTCACGGTCCAGCCCACTGGAAGTTTGGTAAATACGGCGAAGGTGGCGTTGATATCCAGCGGCAAACAATGCGGAAGCACGCGCTCAGCCTCAAGCATCAAGACGCAGTCAAAGCCAAGCTTCGCGCCGAAGGCGGTAAGGTTGCACAGAGGGGCATTGAGCAGTTCGAAAACGACGACAACGAGACTTCTCAGTTGAAACAACTGATGCTGGTCGTGCTATTTATCTGCAAATCCGATTCCCCCATCTCCCTGTTTATTGATCTTGTTCGCCTGTTGGGTGAGCTTCAGACGCCGCACATCCCGGACAAGTCCATAGGGACATACCAGTCAGCGTGAGTGAAAGTCTTTCTTGGTTTGTGTTTTTATTGTCACTACGACTAATACCACCTTCACTGTGTTGTGCAGGTACGGCTTCCGTGAAATTACCGAAGCGATCGTCACCAACCTGAGGCAGCAGCAGATGCGCCACATCCAGGCGTCTCCGTTCTTAGGAATTCAACTCGACGAGAGTACCGACCGGCGCAGAGGCAAGCACATGATAGTCTATCTTAGCTTCATTCGCGACGCCGAGGTCGTCACCGAGCTGTTTGGGCACCTGACAGTCGAGAAGTGCGACGCGTCGTCTCTGCTGACAGTACTTCTCGCCCATTTGGCCGTGACGGGCGTCGACATCATGAAACTGACGGGCATCAGTACGGATGGCGCGAGCGTGATGCGGGGTTCACAGGCTGGAGTGGCAACCCAGCTGAAACTGCGAGTCCCACACCTGGTGACGTGCCACTGCATCGCTCACAGGTGCGATGACAAAATCTCTCTGGCGGTGGTGTATGATCTTGTTGTCAGACGTTTTTCAATGTTCTAACCGCTTCTTTTTGCACACTTGCAGGGAGGCTCTCGCCGCGAAGGACGCGGCGGAGGCGGTGCCCGACCTAAGCATGGTCGACACGGTCGTGCGGAGCATCGCAGAGAACTTGGGGAGGAGCATCGTCTTGCACTCCCGGTTCATGGAGCTACAACACATCCTGCACGAGACGTCTCTGGAGGTGCAGGGTTTTAAAGACGTTCGATGGCTGGCGCGTGGCGATGCGATTCGGAGGCTCGTGGAAGTCCTACCGGCGGCGATAGTGGTGTTGTGGGAGCAAGACAAGAAGGCCTACAAGACAGTCTCGAGTTTCAAGTTCCACTTCTTCCTGTTTTTCCTGGCAGATGTGCTGAAACTGCTCAACGAGCTGAACCTCAAGTTTCAACGGCGCATGGTGAGCAGTAGAGAGGTCCGTGCTGATGTTCATGCACTCGAACGTGTCTGACGTTGGCTTCTTGCCGTGTGCAGGTGGACATCACCCGGGTGGCATCAATGGTCCACAACACGTGCGACAAGCTGAAGCAGCGATACATCGAGCACGGTGTCAACTACGCTGAGGATAGCGAGTTGCTCACCGAGTTCATGGAGAAGCACGGAGCGTTGGACAAGCGGGAGGTGACGGTCGAAGGCATGGATGGGGAGGGAAGTCCCGTTAAACACACTTTCATGCTGCACGAGGAAGCCATCAAGGGACAGAAGTCAAAAGGCGACATAGAATCATGCATCACTGTAACCCGCCTGTTTGCGCAGGAAGTTGTGAAGCACCTCCTGAAGCGGATGGAGAGCCTAGACACCCTCACCGGAGCGAAGCTTTTCCTGCCTGACGCGTACCCCGAGGGAAGCGCGAAGAGAGACCGCCTCTGCCAAGCCTGGTTCCAGTCTCTCCGCACGCTGTTCAGTGCGGAGAAGTGCGTACTTCCAGGTAATCTGTGCGTCTCTGTTGTGCGTCAATGTTACACGCTTGGTGATATGGTACCGCCACTGACTTATCTCCCCGTTGGCCCCCGCCCCTCTTGTACTTGCAATTGTGCGTGAGCAGGAGTGAGCTGGAAAAAGGCGGGACGAGAACTGGTGCCGTTTACCAAGATGATGGCCTCGCAGTACAAGGACCAGACCTTCCACGCCGGCCTCAAGCACATGTTGCGCAGCGACGACTGGGAGACGAGCTACCCCAACATGGTCCGCATCTGGATCGCCCTCGCCGTGCTGCCGCTGAGCACCGTCGAGTGCGAGCGCGGCTTCTCGAGGCAAAACATCATCAAATCGTGGCTCCGCGGGAATCTGTGCAACACACGCCTGGCGGACTTGATGTCGGTATCGCTCCTGCAGTACGAGCCGAACTGGGAGGACGTGGTGGCTGCTTGGAGGGGGGCAAAGAAGAGGCGCCCTGCTAAGGAAGTGACGACCAAGAAGAACACTCCAGAGAGAGCCCCAAAGCGGAAGGCCGAGAGAGGAACGTCAGCTGCTGCCTCCAATGAAGACGAAGATGATGAGGAGGACGTGGTCAGGCGGAGGACCTCTAAGAAGGGCAAACCACGTGCAGCTGTAGCAGTGTCGGACGACAGTGATGATGACAATGGGCTTGATGTCCGCGCCACGATAGTAGAGTCTGACACTGAGTAGACTAGACTAGAGTAGATGTAATTTGTAGTGTAATAACACCTCACCAGTAGTTACATAATTTTTTATTTGATAGTTCTTTTACCGTAGTATTGATGAAACTTTAACTTCTGCTAGAGTTGATGCAATGCAACCCAAAAAAAAAAAAAAAAACAGACAAGCCAGTGCTTTAAGATCTGACAGATCAGACAGAGATTTTGGAAAATCCTGATCCACCAGACAGGGCATCACTCAGCCCACTGATGAAGCAGACGGGCCCGAAGGGCCCGTCTGCTCCATCAGGCTGCCTCAGATCCTAGCGACGTCCCTGCTGCCCATACTGTCACAGTTCGTTACCCTCTACCCCTCCCCACCCCTCTCTGTAAACCACCCATCTCCAGAAACGAGTATGGGGAATTCAAGAATGGTGTTGATACCGAAAGTCATATGTTCATTCGACTTATTGACCAACTTCACGTGTCCAATTGTCAACCTAGACATGCAGTAAAGATAAAGAACAGATTGCTACGGATGAATGCAGCTTGCACTTTAATATACTGTCATGATGTAAGGTTGCAGTTTGCAACCACAAGTTCATTATAAAGCACTGGAGTAAAAACCAATCAAGCTATATAATACAAATATGCACAAGTTTTCTCATTGGCTTTTTCCCCCTAGAAATATTGTCCCCCGCACATCGCCTCAAGAAGCTCATCTGGCCGCAAACTCACATGCAGCGATCCATCTGGCTGCACTTCTTCCCGGGAATTCTTTAGATTACCATGCAGGGACCCATCAGCCTCCAATGCTATGCTCCTACTGAACTGGACTCCCTTTCGAGTCGTCACAAAGGCTGTCCCACGCATCAACCCATCAGGCTCTGAGGCTCCGCTTCTGCTGGAAAGGACCTGTGGCTCCTGCTGCAAATGCAGATCAGCAGAGAACCAAGAATGGCTACGGCCTTGGCTTCTGCAACTCGAATCATGCATGCATTCAGGTGTACTCTGGGTGCTCATGCCCGTGCCTATTGCCTTGCTCTCGACATCGTTCATGCTCGTGATCATGCCTTCAGCCATGGCTACGCCAATGCCCTCATCCGTACCCTTGCTGGTGCCTCCCACCATGCCCATGCCCATGCCCATGCCCATGCCCTCACGCATGCCCTCGGGCATGCCTCGCACCATGCCCATGCCCACACACTCAATTATGCCCATACCCTCGTGCATGGCCTTAAGCATGCCCACATCCATGCCATCGCGCATGCCTTCAACCATGCCCATGCCCACGCACTTCATCATACCCTCGTCCATGGCAGCATACATGCCCATATCCACACCCTTGCTCTTCTCCTCATCTACGCCCTTGCTTATGCCTTCGGCCATGCCCATGCCCACGCCCACATGCATGTGCATGACCACATCCATGCCCGTGATAGTGCCACTCCACATGCGCATGCCCATGCCCTCATCCATGCTATTGCCCACATCCACGCCCGTGCTAGTGCCCTTCTCGTCCGTGTCATTCTCGCTGCCACCATGCATGCGCGGTGACAGGGAGTTGTGCCTTGGGGGATGGGGAATGGGATGGTGAAGGGAGGGAGATGTGGGTGCTGCAGGCGTGAGTGCGTCCCATACTTGGAACAGCTGACGGTTCGTGTCAGCCTTGCAATATTCTGAAACCCAACGGTCAACTGTTGCTGCTGCTGCTGCCATTGCCAGTGCTGGTGCTGCTGCTACTCCTGCTGCTCCTCCTGCTGCTCCTCCTGCTCCTCCTCCTGCTGCTACTCCTGCTGCAGCACCTGATGGTAATGATGATGCCCCTGCTGCTATCGCTGGCATTGTTTCTGCTGCTGCTTCTGTCATTGTTGCTGCCACTGCTGGCACTGTTGCTGCTGCTGACAGTGAAGGCACTGCTGCTACTGATGCGGGTGCTACAGTTTCTTCTGCTGGCACTGCTGCTGCTGGCACCGTTGCTGCTGCAGCCAGTGAAGACACTGGGACCAGCACGGGTGAAAGTGATGCAATCATGTGTGAAGGGGATGCAAATAGCTCCATGAATGGGAGAGATTCGGGGTCCTCTGTTGCCCTTCCTTGAGTCGCCTTCAGAAAGACCTCTGTTGACGGCGTGTACTGCACTGGCTGCATTGACTGCACTGGCTGCGCTGGCTGCATTGACTGCATTGACTGCATTGACTGCATTGGCTGCATTGGCTGCACTGACTGCATTGACTGCATTGACTGCGTTGACTGCGTTGAGTCCCACATGCTGCTTCCAAACTCAGCAGGCAGGCTGAGAAAATGGCCACGAATAGCATGTGGTGATGCAGGATGAAGGAAGGGACTCGGCTGGCAGTCCCATGTGTGTGTTTCCCCAGAAGTTTCGGGGATGTAATCCCACATGTGGGGGGGTAGACCCCGCAACTGACGTGAATTGTGAGGCGTCTCACGAACTTCCCCAGAAAATCCAGGAATGTAACCCCACATGTGTGGGGGTAGCCCATGCAGTTGGCGTGATGGCAGGAGGTGTGATGGGCGAGAGTGTGATGGGAGGGAGTGTGATGGGAGAGAGGGTGGTGAGAGGGAGTCTGAAGGGTGGAAGGGTGTTGAGAGGGAATGCGATGGGAGGGAGTGGGATGACAATAGGCGCTCGGGTACGGAGTGCGATGGGAGGGAGTGGGATGGGATGGAGTGAGATGGCAGGAGGCGTGATGGTAAGGAGTGCGCTCGGAAGAAATGTGATGGGAGGGAGTGTGTTGGGAGGAGTGAGTGTGTTGGGAGGAGGGAGTGTGACGGCACGAGGCGGGGCGGCATGTCCCCTTGTGGCAGCAGTAGGCATGGCGGCGGTCCCACTGTTTGAATGCCATTGCTGACAATTCCTCCATCATTAGCATTGCCATCATTAGTTGTGCCATAACTCGTGCCACCATGCAGCATGCCCCCTCCCCGCATCTCAGCATCATGCACTGGGAAGGAGGCACATGCCATGCCGACACTGACGGTGCCACCCTTTGTGCCGCCATGCATCATGCCCCCTCCCGTCGTCTCTATGCAATGTGCTGGGAAGGGGAAGGAGCCACATGTTATGCCGTCACTGGTGGTGTTGTCACTGGCAACGCCGACACCAGTTGGGCCACAATCAGCAATGCCACCACTCGTGCAGCCGTGCAGCACGCCTCCTCCCGTCGTCTCTGTGTGATGCGCCGGGAAGGAGACACATGTGGATCCATCACTGGCAATGCCGTCACTGGCGATGCCAACACCAGCTGTGCCATAATCAACAATGCCATCACTCATAGAACCGCCATGCAGCACGCATCCTCCCGCCATCTCAACATGATGCTCTGAGAAGGAAATGCCGTCACCAGCGATGCTGTCACCGGTGCTGCCATGCAGCACGCATCCTCCCGCCATCCCATGGTAATCAACCGGGAAGGGAATGCCATCACCAGCGATCATGTCACCGGTGCTGCCGCCCTTGGTCTCATCATGACGCGTGCTGCCGCCCGTAGCCTCATCATGACGCATGCTGCCGCCCATAACCTCATCTTGAGTCACACCATCCTCCGAATTCGCTTCTGCACAAGCGGCCCCGGAAGCAGCAGCGAGCAGACTGGAGCAGTGCAGCTGCAGCTGGAAGGGACGAGGAACAAAGAAAGCGAAGAGAAAACGGCTCTTGAGACGTCTCAAAAAGTGCATCCAGGCAGTAGGGTTAGAAGGGACCACAAACGCAAAGCAGAAGGGAGAAAAGAAAAGGGCACGCCAGCTTTGGAGACAGACTAGAAGAGTAAAATGAGAGCATGGACGGCAGTTGAGGTAAATTGAATGAGGTGCGGCACAAACAAGAAAGCCCAAAAGCGGATAATTTCAGCAGGCAGCGAGTTAGAAAAGGTTCGAAGTTTGAACCCCAGCAAGCTGCAATGCCAGTAATCACCTGTGGTGCTGCTTCGGACTGATGAAGCAGCTGCTCTTGGCGTTTGAAGAACTTTCTGTGCCGATTGACAGGGGAAATGGAAAACAACGAAGGCATTAGAGACCTTAGGGTGGAGCCTCACAGAGAAGTGCTTCGGCATCGACGTATGCTTTTTGAGAATTCTAAAAAAAACATAAGGAATTCCAGGCACTTTTCGGCCTCAGGGAAACAAGAAGGCGTTGCAATCAGCAGTGTAATGAGGAAAGGGAAGATGCATGCAGGCTTGCAGAGGATAACAACGTCGTAAAGCTCGCAGCATCTTAGAGCACAAGCGAACGCCTGTAAGTGTGTAAAGCACAAAATCGGCACAACAAGTCAGCTTCTGCGCAGGATAAAGAGAAGGGTAAAACATCTCGAAAACTTGGGTGTGAAGAGAGGCAGCGCTCAAGCATGGCAAGATGAAGTCCGACCATCCAGCCATCCCCATTATCAAACACAACACTGCTAACAGTCTGACCATCCAGCCATCCCCATTATCAAACACAACACTGCTAACAGCCTAGTTTTGAGACGTCTCGAAACAGTCTCCTCCCTCAGCAATGGGGCCTTGAATCGCATATGGAACTACGAAAAAAAACAAAATGCCAAGAGGAGGTACCTCTTTAGGACGATGAATCGGTTGCAGCATGCCTTGCTGTCCCGGCCAGGCAGTAGCCCCGCGTTGACAACGCCTCTCCATTGTCTCGTGCCGTGCGCTGCCACGTGCAGCAGCAGCTTGCGGTCCTCCTGGGATTCAAAAGAAAGGGAGGGAGAGAATGACATATATATATATATATATATATATATATATATGTGCTGCCACGTGCAGCAGCAGCTTGCGGTCCTGAGATTCAAATAAGGCAGAAGAGGAAGGATGTGCAGCACGTGCTGCGACGTGCAGGAGAAGCTTGCTGTCCTCCTGAAAGGGTTGAGAGGTAGGAGAGAGGAGGCTTGAAGTGAAGCAATGTGGCAGAATGCTGCGATGCGGCACGTGCAGCAGCAGCAGCAGCAGCAGCAGCAGCAGCAGCAGCAGCAGCAGCAGCAGCAGCAGCAGCAGCAGCAGCAGCAGCAGCAGCAGCAGCAGCAGCAGCAGCAGCAGCAGCAGCAGCAGCAGCAGCAGCAGCAGCAGCAGCAGCAGCAGCAGCAGTAGCAGCAGCAGCAGCAGCAACAGCAGCAGAAACAGCAGCAGCAGCAGAAGCAACAGGAAGCGGTCTTTCTAGACCCAAGAAGCGGGGTGGAAGGCAAGGGAAGATTTTTCAATGGAGGTAATTCAAAGCAAGAGGGGAACGATGAGCAAGAGCAAATATGAGTAAAAGGAGCGATGAGCAAGAGGAGGGAAAGAGGAGGGATGAGCAAGAGGAGGGAAAGAGGAGGGATGAGCAAGAGAAGACTGAGGTACAAGTGCTAGGGTCATGCTTGCTTCAATTAACAAGCCGCTTACCTCCGCAGTCCACAGGTGACCAGCGTGCCGAGACCGCGCCACCATTCTCAAGGCCTGCCTGAGACCTTCGGTGCTTGACTTGACACCTCCCAGCTGGTATATCTCGAACCTTGAGCGTGATCTTCGATGCTTGAGCGTTCCGGTTGAAACCAACCGGTTCTGGTTTCGATCCGCAGCAAGCCTACTAAGAGTTCCCGAATGATCTATAGAATTAATTCTAGAACCTCGAACCTCGAACGGGTCTGGGCGGTTGAGAAAGCTCCACTGCCGGTTCTATGCGAGAGTCTCTGCGGGGCCAGCCTGAGGTGGTCACGTGCTGGCTTTGAAGTATGTGAATAAGGAACCGTTGGAACCAGGAGGTGGTGGGCTTGGAACTGTGCTGCAAGCTGATGTTGAAGGGGGTTACTCGGTGTTGTAATATCTCTCCTGCTTTTATCATGCTACTCTTGAGTTATCATGCTCTAAAAACCATGGCAGAGCCCTGTCAGATGCATGAATGAACCGGAAAAGGTTTAAGGCGGCTCGAGCTCTGGTGGTAGTTGAACTGAACTTCAGAAAGACTATAGCTAATCTCTGAAGAGTCAAGCTATTGCTGCGCTTTTTTAATAGACTCTGAACACCAAATTCATGCACCTTTTTGTCTGGAAGGACGCGTTTTCGTGCACGCATACACCTTGAAGTATTGGAACACTGATATTACTATTAGTCGTTCCAGTGCAGCTGGTAGATGGCATAGTGCTAGTCCTCTAAGGCGGTACACGCCCCCTATACATGGCGGTCCTAATATTAGCGTTCTGACAAAACAGGAAGAATAGACAGCCTGTGAAGCAGGGCGTGACCTACACCAAGGCCCCTGACCCCTTGTTTTGTCCTCATTCGGCAAGAACAACATTTTTTCCGGGCCGGATACTGCAAATCCGCTCTCCTTCTGGCAATGGGGATGCACTCCAGTCAGGCTGGAATCGGTGATGTATGGACCGTTCTCAAGTTGTTACCTGCTCCGAGTAGAAAATCAGTCTGATAGGGTGCGAGCGAACTTCGCTGAAACGGCTAGCAAACAATTACAGTTACAGTACTACTGGTACAACCTGTGGTTTGCTCGAAAAGTCATGTTTATTTCGAATCACGTGAAAAGACGCTGTGTGGTTTGTTCACGTGAATCAGCGAAAACACCAACTCAGCCTGGCATCCCTGCGAGAGAGAGCAGGCTGCGTTTTCTGTTACTGTAGCTGAATTGCACCCCTGGCGCCTCGCGCGTGCCAGGGGTGACGACGACGGCGAGGCTATTGGGCCCGCATGCCTTCGGAGATGAGAGGAACTCCTGGACCCGTCTAGGGTTTAGAGTAATAAAGCCGGCACCATAACGATGGCGTCATGTGACGTCGTGGTGGAATCGGATCTGTTTCTCAATTAATCTAAGAAACGTCGCGGAAGCAGACGCCAAGTTTGCTGAGCTGGAAATAAGAGCTGTGCCGTGGGAAGGTAGGGTAAGGTGAGGGACGGGTTGCTCTGCTGTGTACAGACACTGTGCATCCTTTCTACTGCTCCCTTCAGTTACAAAAACGCTACAGTGCCGAAGGGAGCAGGAGAGATGCACGAACGGAAATGAACGGAACTGAGCAAATGCGTTAGAAAAGAAACACGCAAAGTTTTATCACGTGAACGCACGTGCCCGATGTACGTAGGGTGAAAAGGCGACCGAAATACATTCTGCAACCTCATCCATATAGGTCGAAGTGGACGGATGAGATGCGCGTAGACGTGAAGAAACATCATTATTCTAAGTTTTACTGGACTTATTACCCAAACCCTAAACAGAGACAACCACGGTGTCAGACTGATAACTGACAGCATCAACACTCGATCGTGTCACACCAAGTAGCGCGCCTGCGTCACAACATAGTGGTGCGCTCAGGGGATTCGGTTTAGGCACCCACACACCAAAAAAATTGTTGGGCGTACCTATTGGGGAGGAGGATTGGGAGGTGGCCCGATTACGGGAGCGGCTTCGACAGTTGCAGGGGCCATTGCCATGGCTCCCCCTGCTTGACCACCCCCAGATGGCTTCACATCTCCTCGCCATTGCAGTTTCAGCGCGGCCGATGTACCTGGCCCGGACTATGTCGCCGCGTCCAGAGGTGGTGGAGGCCTTTAGGGATTGGGACAGCTGTCTGGAGGATTGCTTCGAGCAGCTTTTCCCACCTGGCACTTGGGAGCAAGACCCCGACCGATCTAGGCGCGCGTGCATGCAACTGCATCTTCCCGTGCGACTCGGGGGGTTCGGGATTAGGGCGGCGGCCTATTTGAGCCCGCTGTCCTATGTTTGTGGGTGGGCGCAGGCCGCGCGGGATGTTGCACAGTTGGGGGTGGCGGGGGAAGAGGCGATGTTTGCAGAGTACCTCACCACCTCGGGGGGGGGGGGGGGGGGGGGGGGGGGGCGGAGCTTCTTGACCCTTGGTTTGCCAAGGCTATTGAGCAGCTGCCAGCAACTATACGCCAGGAGATGCCGGGCTTACCTCTGTGTGCAGCGGCTCCCCCTCTTCGACTTTTCCAGGCGCGGCAGCGGCAGTTGGCTGTAGAGGAGCTCCAGGCACTACGCCGCTCGGCTCGTGACGATGCCACCCTGGCCCGTTTCACATCCCTTCAGGGCCCGGGGGCTGGTGCATGGGTTTCGGCGGTCCCGGCTCACTCAGATCTCACATTCACTGCGGCGGAGTGGGGCATTGCTGCTGCTATACGGCTCGGTCTCCCAATTCAGCAGCTGCAGGTCGCGGGGAGGTGTGTTGGTGGCACAGCGTATGTTGACCCAGCAGACCCGCATCATGCCTTGAGATGCAAGCACCAGCATGGTCCATCTCGGGTGCATGATGAGGTGAAATTTGCGGTGGCGAGGATCTCTAAGGCGTCAGGGGGGGTGGTGACGATGGAGGATGGTGTGGTGCTGCCGGGGAAGCGGGTTGACATGGCGGTGCGACGACCAATGGCCGGGGAGGCCCACGCTCTAGAGATCAGCGTCGCGGACCCGCTATCGCTGTCCCCATCTCTGCTAGGGCAGTGTGGTCGTTCTATTGGTGTGGTGGCAAGGGAGTGGGAGCGTCGCAAAACGAGTGATTACGCGCCTCTGCTTGCGCGCAACCGGGGCGTGCAGTTCACTCCGTTGATAGTAGAGATGTGGGGATGTCTTGGCGGGCGTTTCCGGCAGTGGCTTCGACGACAGGGGGATGCACACGTGGGGCTAGCCGTGTCACGGGGGGCTTGTCGGGAGGATGACTTTTCGTTTTCGGCTTATCTTTTGGGGTCTCTGAAGGCGCTCATTGGGGTAGCGTTACAACGGGCGCAAGCTCGTGTCATCCTGCTTCGAGCGGCGTCTTCTATAGGGGGGATGAATGTGGACTTGGTGGACCGGGAGAAGGACGACGTCGAGGAGGAGGGTGGGGCTCTTTGGGTGGAGGCCCCGTACATGGTGGATGCGCAAATGTGAAATGGGGTGCGGGATAGGGTGTGTTGATGGGGTGTCCTGACTGGGTGTTCAGTTTGGGTTTTTTTATGAGGTTTTTTAAGGGTGTTGCATTTGCTTACGTGGCGAAGAGGGACAATTTGGCGGGCTCAGGAATTGCAGCAGATTGTCGAAGCCTGGTTGCTTGTGGCCCAAAAAAAAAAAAAAAAAAAAAAAAACACCCTTGGTTTTGGTCCAGCTCATGTACTGTAAAAAAACTGAGCTTGGAGTGGGATTATGTTATGGGCCAACTGAGCATTCGTTAAAGCCCGAGTTCTACATGGTATTTTTCAAATTCAAGTTTCTTGAAGTTGATTTCGTGAATAACCATGTTACCAGTTGGTTCAGAACAATCCGTCAGTTTCAAGCAGCAGAGGTGATCCGTGATTGGCCAGCGATAAACTGGAACAACAAGCAGGAAAAACGCCTCAGAGGAAAGCACTATTCACCTTGAGTAAACTTGAAAACCATCGGGAACGCTTGGACACGCATATTATGAGGCACGCTAGTAGTCGTTCTCCCGTCACATTCGGGCAATCTTCAGTCTAAGTGCTCTGTTCAAAGACACGAATCCGGGACCTTTGGCGACTTTAGTTGCAACCGAGCCGCCGCCATTATGTTTCCTCTAACGCAACCGCCACGTTCTCTCCAAGTGTCGTTGCAGCGAGTAGTAGTCTCAGGCTTAGAAAGAAGCACACGCTCGCGCGTCGCG